TTCTGGGGCTTTATCTTATTCCTGCATCTGGTACATGGTCCTCTGCCTTTTCATTTTGTCTGTCTTTCTGTGAATGTGGTTTTCATTCCACAGGCTGCAGGATTGTAGCTCTTCTTGCTTCTGCTGTCTACCCTCTGGTGGATAAGGCTATCTAAGAGGCTTGTGCAAACTACCTAATGGGAGGGACTGGTGGTGAGTAGAACTGGGTGTTGCTCTGGTGGGAAGAAGCTCAGTAAAACTTTAATCCGCTATCTGCTGATCAACCTCCCTGTTGGTTGTTTGGCCTGAGGTGACCCAGCACTGGAGGCTACAAGCTCTTTGGTGGGGCTGTTGGTGGACTCCTGGATGGCTCATGACAAGGAGTACTCCCCAGAACTTCTGCCAGTGTCCTTGCCCTCACGGTGAGACGCAGCCACACACACCCCGACCTCTGCAGGAGACCCTCCAACACTAGCAGGTAGGTCTGGTTCAGTCTTCTATGGGTCACTGCTCTTTCCCCCTGCGTCCCGATGTGCACACTACTTTGTGTGTGCCCTCCAAGAGTGGAGTCTCTGTTTCCCCCAGTCCTGTTGAAGTCCTTCAGTCAAGTCCTGCTAGCCTTCAAAGTCTGATTCTCTGGGAATTCCTCCTCCTGTCGCCGGACCCCCAGGTTGGGAAGCCTGACTTGGGGCTCAGAACCTTCAATCCAGTGGGTGGACTTCTTTTTTTTCAATTTTTTTTTAAGAATTTGTTTTTTAATTTATTTAGTTTTGGCTGTGTTGGGTCTTCGTTGTTGCACGGGCTTTCTCTAGTTGCAGTGAGTGGGGACTACTCTTCGTTGTGGTGTGTGGGCTTCTCATTGCGGTGGCTTCTCTTGTTGCGGAGCATGGGCTCTAGACACATGGGTTTCAGTAGTTGCAGCACATGGGCTCAGCAGTTGTGGTGCATGGGCTTAGTTGCTCTGCAGCATGTGCAATCTTCCCGGACCAGGGATCGAACCCGTGATCCCTGCATTGGCAGGCAGATTCTTAACCACTGTGCCACCAGGGAAGTCCCAGTGGGTGGACTTCTGTGGTATAATTGTTCTCCAGTTTGTGAGTCACCCACCCAGTGGTTATGGGCTTTGATTTTATTGTGCTTGAGCCCCTCCTACTGTCTCATTGTGGCTTCTCCTTTGTCTTTGGATGTGGGGTATCTTTTTTGGTGAGTTCCAGTGTCTTCCTGTCGATGACTGTTAGCAGTTAGTTGTGATTCCAGTGCTCTCGCAAGAGGGAGTGAGTGCATGTCCTTCCACTCTGCCATCTTGAACCAATCCCTGAGCTTTCTATTTTACAATTACTATACTAAAAATAATAGGGATTAAATCTTCTTCGTTGATGTATCCCCAACCCTTGGCATAATAGCCAGACTAAGAATTTGTTGAATAAATTATTGTTTAATATATATAAACTAGTTAAGCTAATAAAATCTCTATTTTTCACTATAATTAAATTATTTTCATTGCTGATTAACTTTTGGTGGGCTTTTAAACCACTGTTTTTAAATTTAAGAAAAGTATTAGAGCACTCCTTTTAACTATTAGCTTTACTTTTAAAGCTCTGAATCAAATTTTTCTTAACTCAGTTTCTTTATACCATGTCTCTCCTGTTCATTTCAAAATGGGATGATTTCTGCATATGGATGTCCAAGTTTTTAGGCACGTTGCCACTTCCTACCTATAGTTCTTACTGCCTTGATCTGGAATACTGAGCATTTTAAATAACTCCCTCACAACAGAAAGTTCCAGTAGGTTTTTAAAAATCTTTGCTTGGGAAGAGAGTGAGGGAGAAAATGGAAATATCAATATATCTTCTATTTATGTTCTAACTCTGTAATTTAGCTAAGTAGAATGAACTCCACCATTTTGTTTAATTCTTAACACACCCAAATCTGTCATGTAGTAAGGTTTAGAGATTAAAACATAATGCAACAAAACTTACAGGAAAGCAGAAATGCTTCAGAAGTTTCTACCCATTTTCTATTGATAGTTATCTTAAAGGAAAAATAGATGTGGAGGGCAGGAGAGGAAGGAATGGTTGAAATCCAGATGTTGGCGTATCAACTTTCTTTTGTTCCTTCCTCTACTCTTTCAGAGGATCTCAAGGCTTTGGTATGTATGTTAACAACTGTCCATGGTCCCTTTCCAGTGTTTCCTGTATTGGTGAATGGCCCCAGCTTCCATCCAGTTAGGCAAGCCAGGAACACAGCTCCTCATCTCTTGCATTTCCCAACTCACCACCAAGACTGTTAATTTTACCTCCTAAAAGTATCTCAAATCTATCCACGTCTCTTCATTTCCACCACCAGTACCCTTGGCCATCTTCTTTGCCTTGGGCCAGTGCAATCATCTCGTACAGAAAATGCTATTGGTGCCCTGCTCAGATCCCTTTTACTGGTTCTGATAACCTACCTCACAGCTGCTTTGGCTCACACCTGCAACTTTCTCTGGAGTCCCTTGGACACCGGAGCCACACTGACAAGAGAAGCCTGGGAGGGAATCAGTCTCCCAGACCACCCTCATGGGGCTGCCTGTGACCAATGACTGATAGGTGCAAGAGTACAAAAGCCCAGCTCCGTTGCCCCAGGGAAGGACAAACTCTGCAGTGCAATTTATACTCTAGAGCCCCCTGTAGGATCAGGTAGAGACTAGGCTTCACCTGAAACCACATCTATTTTTAATTTTTCCCCTTCCTTATCCTGTTTCTCTCATTCACATACATAGAAGTTTCTCCTGATAGCACTCCCTTAATAAATCACTTCCACACAAATCCCTATTTTAGGCTCTGCCACCAGAAAATTTACCCTGAAACAACTCCTAGCTGTTCTCCTTGCATCCACTGTTGACCCCTACAATCTGTTCTCCACATCACAAATATGGTCATCCTTTACACAGTGCTTAGACCCTGCAAATGATTTTCACTGATATTAGGATAAAAGCTAAACTAATTAATGTGTCCTGCCAGGCCCTGCATGAATGGTCTGCCTGCTGACCTCTTGCTGTTTCAGCTTCTCTACCACTCTCCCCTGCTCCCTCCCTTCCAGCCACACTGACTTTCTCTCTACCCCCTCATAGCCCCAAGCTTCCCTCTGCCTCAGGGCCTTTGCACATCTTGTTCCTCTGCTTGGTATATTTTTCTTTGCTACTTTTATGTAGATAATCCCTACTCACCTTTCAGCTCTCAGCTCAATTGTTCACCTATGTGAGCAGGGATGTATCCACTGGGCCTTGGTTTAGAAGTCCCTTCCTGACTCGAATTAGACTAGCATTAGCGTTCCTGCCACATTCTCCCATAACAATCTTGTACTTCCCCTATTAGCACTTCATTGTTACTGTTTGTTTTGATGATCTTTGCACTAGACTGTAAGCTCCATTAAGTCAAGGACTGTATCTTTATTAATTAATTAATTCAATAATTATTTCAATAAATATTTATGTGCATCTACAATATTTTAGGCATTGTGCTAGTTGCTGATGATACAAAGCGTGAAAAATCGACAGTACTCCAGCCCTTTGGAGTATACAGTGTAGTGGAGAATATAGAGGTAAATTAAATAAATATTTTGTTAAACTATGATAAGTGCTATGAAAGAAAATTACAGGGTAGTATCTGATTCATCATTTTATTCCATTTACCAAGCACCATGACTGATACAGAGTTGGTGCTAAATAAAATCTTTAAATGATTGAATTAAAAACCTGGCTATTTTTTTCTCTCTTTTCCAGACAAACATCTAGTCCTCTGAGAGCCAACAACAAACTTTTCCATCAGAATGAAGAGGCTATTTCGATGTACGCTGTTGATAAGTGGAATGAGCTTGAATGACTCTACTGACCCCAGGGAAATTTCTAAGAAGAAAACAGGGCATCAATATGCCTTCCTTCAACATGTTTTCTAAGGAAATCAAGCTTTCCAAATCAGCCCTCCTAGAGATTAAGAAGACTAAACAAGTTATTATTAATTGTTTGCTATAACTTGCACATTTATGATATACTTGAGTGGTTTTTCTTTTGTTTATATATATCTGGGGAAATTTGGCATAAATGAGGTTAATTTTATAGGGTTGAAAGAATTATTTTCAGGTTTTAAGCTGTTATATGTGTATATACATTTAAATATCTTTTTTTACAATCTATTGTTTGTCACAGTCTTGACTGTTTTTCTACTGATGTTCTCTTGGACACTCATGCTGGTATTTTATGTCAGTGATGTTCTAAGGGTTGGTGGCTGTGTGATACTTGCTATTCAATATGTTTAATACCATCCATGGTTAACGTATAATGTATTTGTCTTAGAACCCTTTATCCATCACCAGTTTCAAATAACAAGATTGTTCTATGGGAAAACACAATCCAGTTTTTATAATGTATTGGTCTATGACATGCTACCTGGGAAGCACTGTGGCAAAAATGGCTGACTATGTATGTGTAAATAATGTGTAGAGAAGATGCATGTGTGTTTAGCCACCCCAAGATAAATATATGCTCAGAAATATGCATATATATATATATATATACATGTTTATATATATATATATGTAGCTCATTGTAAATATGTATCGAGAACACTTCATTAAATGCTAATATCCAAGTGTAGGAAGTAAATAAAAATACAAAGGAAAAAGAGGGCTTTGGACTATTTTTAAATTTTTGTTATTGTTAATAGTGTACCCCATTGCCATAAGATATCAAAATATTAAGAATTACCAAAATGGGGACTTCCCTGGTGGCGCAGTGGTTAAGACTCCACACTTCCAATGCAGGGGGCCTGGGTTAGATCCCTCATCAGGGAACTAGATCCCACATGCATGATGCAACTAAGAGTTCACATGCCACAACTAAGGAGCCTGCCTGCCGCCACTGAGACCCAGCACAACCAAATTAAAAAAAAAAAAAAGAATTACCTACATGGTGTGATTATGCTTTCCTGCATTTCCATGGACTGATAAAATATAATACCAGGGAAAGATGTCACATACAGTACCTGCTCCATCTTGCTGAGGAAACAGTCAATGTAGTCTCGAGGGTTATTATGATCCAGGGACTTCTGATGCTCCTTCACTTTTTCCAGAATAAAATATTTAACATCATTAAGCCTTTTTGAGAATGCTTTGTGCTCTCCAGGGAGATGCTTTATGAGTTTTGGCCATAGATTGTAAATCTAAAATGAGAAAAAAAATACATCAGCAATTCAGTTTGTGAAGAGAGACCAGTGTTTCTAAGTGGAGCACCTAACCCTCTGTGGGGTCTGGCTAGGGAGAATCCCTTCCTCAAGCTTCTGAGCAGAAAAGAAGGGAAGGTGACCATCACGTACATGAGAGAGCAGCCCTTTCCCATCTCCTTGCTCAATCACCCTTGGCCAACCTCAGAGTCGAGAAGGGGAGAATGTGCGTAGGGGCCTTAAAAGAAACATAGGCAACGGGGAACGTGATGTCTTCTTTTGTGGGAGTCAACTCACAGAAGCAAGCAGAGGGCAGCCTTCCATAGGTGCTGGGGTAAGCGACACTGCACTCATCCACTCGACAAGACACACGTTGTGGGAAGGTGACAGTGCTTGTTTTGGCACGTGCTCATGGGGCAGGGTGGGGAGCTCACAGCCCTTTACCCTGCCTATGGGCTCCCAGTGCCCCCATGAGATCAACTGCAAGGGTAGATGCAGACTTGGCTTTACCTGGTTCCAGGGAGAGCTTATTCGATTAAAATTTTTATTTAACACACTCAACAGGGAGAGTAACGTCTTATTGTTGTAGTGGAAACGCTCATTGAAGAGGACGGAGCAGATCACGTTGCAGGAAGCACAGGAGAGGATGAAGACAGGGTCCAAGGGCTGAGCTGATGTGAGAAAAAAAAAATTCTAACATTTAGAATTTTCATCAGCTTGCATTAGGGCTTCAAGAACAGGGCCTCCCTCTTGCTCAGATTGATACCTATATTTTATTTTCTCTAAACTTCTTCAAATTAGGATGTAGGGATCTTCTACTAGTAGTACATGCTCTATAGTATTATACTACGCTACTACTACTAATTATTATGTTACTCAATGAATACTGTAATAGTCATAAGAGCAACAGGTAATATTATGGAGTATTATACATGCTGGATACTGTGTAAATGTTTTGCAAACTGTAACGTTTTGCAATACTGTAATAGCCATAAGAGCAACAAGTAATATGGAGTATTATACATGCTGGATACTGTGTAAATGTTTTGCAAACTTTATTATTTAACCCTCATTCTGAGGTTTGATTTTTAGCCCCATTTTTCACATGAGGAAACTGCGTTTTAGAAAAGTTAAGTAACTTGTCCAAATTTACACATCCAGTAAGTGCCGAAGTTGGGAGATGAATCCAAACAAAAGGATTCGTGAGTCCTAAGTAACAGTTTTGGGTCATTTTCTTCCTGCTGCCTTTTTCCTAGTCAATGCCCTGACTCATAGAGCAGATTGTGGACTATTGCGTGCCTCCCAAAGGAGGAGCTTTGGTGGGAAGCTCTGTGTGTAGAAGCCCCTTGCCCCAAAGGATGGTCAATGGAACGCACCCTCTGTTTTCCTGAGCTCCTCCACCAGAAACTGGGCCTCCTCCTGGACCCTCTCCTCGAGGCCCCTCTTCCCCATCCCAAAGTTCCTCAGGGTCATGAGGGAGAAGCGTCGCATTTGTTTCCACCTGTTTCCATTACTGAAAAAGATTCCTAGGAAAAGAAGCAAAGAGCAGGAAAGAATTTTGCATTATGGAGTCCAACTTTCCCTGAAGCTTATCCCCTGTGTCCACCCTGCACTGTTGCCAGTGCCCCTTTTCAGGGATTTAGCAACTGGCCTTTGAAGAGCACAACATATTCTTTGGTTTGGGTGAAATATTTGTCACAAAGAAAATAAAACCCAAGCTCTGGTCAACAGAGGGCAGGGGTGATGGAGTCAGGAGGCGGATCATTGGCAGGTAGAGAACATTCCCAAGTGTGGGAAGGGCCCTCTGTCTGGTTTTGTTAAAAGTAGTAAAGACTGGCATGTGTCCTCACAAACCTCTTTCCTGAGTGTCTGTTTTACACTTAATATCCCTCTAACTTGTGGTTTAATTCTACCTGTGATTTTCTCTATTAGAGGATAAGCAACTGGAAAGCAGAGCAATAGGGAATATATGTTTCCATTTGCCTCTGAAATTACTACAGCTAATGTTAGCTAATCTGAACAAGGAGAAACTCAGGAGCAAAGGAACTCAGTATGTTCACACCAGTGTTTTTTCATTCCTTCCTCTGTACAAAACCAGTTACGTGTCCTGAATTTCCTTAATGCACCACCAGTTTCTTAGTGCCCCAAATCCAAACCTCAGGGCATCTTCACATCCCTCTTGCCCTTCACCCTATACATCTGCACTTGGTAAGTCCTGTCGATTCCACCTCCAAAATGTCTTTCTCATCTGTCCCTTCTTGTCAATTCATACTACGCAACCACACTTCAGGTTCTAATACTTTTACAGATTTTAAAAGTTCTAATCATCTTCAAACCAGTTTCCCTTTTCACTCCTCTAAATCTACAGTTTCCAGGTTACTCAAAATCAAATACAGGGACAATGAGGCTGGTGCTAAAAACCATTCAATGGGTCCCTCTACCCCACCCCCACCTCCCCACCTCAGTCTCATTCTGACACCTTTAAAACCTCAAACATTTCCATCATTCTCTCCCTTGGCTCTAACTCTGAGCTTATAGACCAATCACAGCTGTTCACTAAATGCAACTACATTGTTTTGCACCCTTATTTTGTTCATTCTCTCCCTTTTGCTGACAAGTCTGCTCCCGCCCTATGTGCTTTGTTGAGTTTCTAGCTTTCCTTTAAGAGCCATCTTGAAAACCTTCTCTTTGAAGTCTTCCCTATCCTCTACTGGAGATAATCTTGCCTTTCTTTAACTGAATTGGCTTGCGTGATGCTTTAATACAATTTATCTTTTCTACCTTGTATTACAGCAATTTGTTTACTTGTGTTACTTCCTATACTAGATTTTACTTAGTTAAGTGACTGGCGCATCTCTCCAAATATTTTCTGTGACACACGATGATCTCTTACCTTGCACACAGAAGATGTTCAATACACATTAATTTAAATATTCATTTCACATCTACCAAATTAGCAAGCATTAAAAAGAAATTTTGTACCTAAAGCAATCAAGCTTGTGGCAAATTTGGTGCATTGTTTAGCCTCTTTGCATATCACGACCTGTTATGGAAATTAAAGCAATATTTATAGCAAAAACTATTAAAATTGTCTTTGATCCATTAATTGCTTTCCTAAGAATTTACACAAAGAAATAATTCAGCAAAAGTTAAAAAGGTGTACACTGCAATGTCATCTATACTGATTTAAGAAATTTGTAAACAATCTAAATGCTAATGATAGGGTAATTTTTTGCATAATTATACAATGATAGTAAATCAATATTAGGAAAAGTAAGCAATTGTTAAAATGATGATTATGAAAACTACGTAAAAATAGCAGAAATGTTAATATTTAAAAGAAAAAATCAGTATACAAATATGTCTATACTATAATTACAACTATGTAAAATATGTGTGCATATGAACAACATCTGGGAGATGGTACATAAAAATAAATATGTTACATCAACTATACTTCAATTAAAAAATTAAAAAACAAAAAAATTTAAGAATAGGTTAGTGTATTGAGACTATGGTTAGTGGTTCTGGGTTCTAGAGTTAGGCAAATTGAACTCAAATCTCTACTCCAAAACTTTCTAATTTGGGTGAGTTATTTAACTTCTGTTGCCTCAGCTTTTCATCTGTTGAATGGAAATAAAAAATATTTTCCTCATGGGGCCACTGTGTTAACTGAATATGGTAATACATGAGAAACCCCCAGCACAGCATCTGGCACATAAGAAGTATTTAATAAATATTAGCTAATATTATATAATTATAGCTATTATAATAATAATTCAATAATACTCCAATTATTATTATAACATAATAATAACATTATTATTATTATTGGATTTTAGGAATATTTTAATCTCTTTAAATTTTTAACTGTTTTTGTATCACCTTTAAATCAAAAAGCAATTACAAGTTTGGTAAAATTTTTATTTAATCCTTAATTAGACTTTTAAATGTTGCCTTTTTTTGCTCTTCATTTATTCTTCCATTTATCTAATAAATTTTCATTGCTATCCTGTGCCAACTAAAGCATGTCACTTGCCATCCAGCTCTACAAGGATTAGGTCAATGGCCACTGCAGTCACTGACCTTCAACAGGCCCTGAAAGAATTCAGCGGGGAGATCAGGAATGAGGCACTTTGTGCTCTGGGGAAACTGACAGAACAGGCCTTCAGATAGTTAGATATTTTCAGGAGAAAACTTTAGGAGCTCTATTTCTTGCATTTCCTCATACTTAGAAAAGCAATAAAATCATTTAGGGAGACATCTGTTCCTCGTGACTAGCAGCAGCCTTCTACCGAGCTGGGGGGTTGATTGCACATAGCCCCTTCACCAAATCATACATAGACGGACCTCCCCCCCCCGTCTCTTCGGAGCAGTTTCTCAGAGCTATCTGAGACGCTGTCTCCTGGGCTATAGTCCTCAGTAAGTCCCCAAATGAAAGTGAACTCACAGCTCTCACACTGCATTTTTTGTTTGGTTGACACCGGCTGTATGCCAGATTCTAAAAATATTACTACCGTGAACATTCTTGCTTATAATTTTTCCCACATCTTGTATTATCTCTCAAGATAGGTTTCTAGAGGGGAATTACTCCATCATTATGGATGTCTCTTTAGAGAAGTTTGGTTGTTAAGGGGCAAGAAACCAGGAACAGTAACCGAAGGGAGTTGTGAGGAGAGTGCTGTGGAATATTCACATGCTCCTGGGAATGATTCACTGGAGAGTGAGTTTATCAGTCACAGTCCAACCAGCAAAAGAGAAGCCTCCCTTAATATTTAAAACAGAGGAAAATTAATCCAGGGAATTGGTTTTAAGGTGATGGAAACACTGAGAGGCCAAACCAGGGACAGCGAGACAACTGGTAATTATCAACAGCAGAAAACTGCTACCATCTCCCCATGGAAGGGACAAAGGAGCTCAGTGGCTGGGGTTACCTGGCCAGGAACCAAAGTGGCCCTGGAGTTATGGGGGGACATGCAGCTCTTGGAAGAGATGCTATCTGAGGCACAGAGAGAGGGGGGCCCTCTGGCTCTCCTTCCACTCCCCAATCTCTTGCCAGTGCCTCTCTTTGGTTGATCCCAGTCAGAGCCAGCAGTTGAAAGAGTGTGGGAATTTCAGCTTGCAGTAACTGTAGCACTGGGAACCAGGGCCAGTAGGGAAGAGAGACGAGTGGCTTTCAAGACAAGCGGAGAGAGATGGGTAATCAGGGATGGAGAAAGCATCACCAAAGAAGTAAAATACTTGGGAAGGTGAGATGCTATAGGATCTAGGGCACATGTGAAAATTTCCCCTGTCAAGAAAGGGACACTTTTTCAATTGTAACAGGAGAAAAAAAAAGGAGAATGTGGGTGCAGGGGCAGATAGACCCATAGATAAAATGTTAAGAAATTGGAGAGTTCATTTCTGATACTTCTGTTGTTACAATGAGTTATGATACAGTGCTTCTGAGAGAGGAAATGTATAATGGGGGTGTTAATAGGAGGAATGAGGAGTCTCTGAGAGTGGAAAAGGGAGCCAATCAGAGGAACGTGTTGTATTAAGAGTCTAATTGAGGTTTAAAGTATTAATTTAAAGGGAAGCCAGTGTAATTACTAAGAGAATTTCTCTAGCAGTGTTTACCTTCTGGACACACGCACAGAGAAGATGGTTGAATTCTTCCAGTGTTGGAGTATATGCCAGGAAAATGTGATGGCAGGAGAGAGTGCCGATATATTTTCTAGGTTCTGATTACAATAAATGAGCTTTGTGAAGGCTGCTTTGATTCACTGATGCTGTCAGTTAAAAGTTTAAGGTCAAGGCTCTTGACAATATCTATTTCAGAGGAAAATCTGACATTTTCTATTGCCCTATTCCAAAATTGAAATGCTTTTGGGAGTCCAAATCTGGGAATGTACACATATACGCACATGAATCTCACATACAGTAGTCAGTCTCTTCTTTTCTACACGGGGAGTTCAGCGTTGGTCCAGGGCTGCCTGTGACTCAATGCAGAAGGCTCTGTAATCCTATCTTCCACTGCAGAACCACTTGGCTCCCACTTAAACTTCTGTTCTTCAAGTTTTCCCTTATCAGTGCAGAGGTGACACTTTCCTCTTCTACCTGCTTGTTGTAGGCAGATTGTGTTTTCCAGAGTGAACCACAACATCTCCCATCCCTCATTCTCTTCCGTAGTGTGACCACCACCACTTCCCCATCAAGAATGGAAGCTTAATTCCTGTCCATTTGGATTTGGGTTGGCTTTTGGGAATTACTTGCAATGAATAGAATGGTTCTATGTTCTAAGATTTGGTCTGAAGAAGCTTTGCAGCTTGGAATGCTCACTCTCCAGATGCTCCCCCTCAGGATGCCCCCTCCTGGACTCCAGGCACCAGCGAGAAGCCCAAGCCACATGGGCGGGCCACTTAGAGATGCTCTGTTGACAGGCCCAGCTGAGCTCAGCCTTTGGGTCATCCTTGCCCAGAAGCCAGACTTGTAAATGAAGAAGCCTCTAGATGATTTCAGCCCTCAGCTATTTGAATCACCCTTAACTGCTTTATTTGGAAAAAAAAAAAAATTGGATGTCTGCTAAGGTCCCAGGCCTTGTGGATCAGAGAAAACCCCTTCCACTATGCCGTGTTCAAATTCCTGATCACAGAATCCATGAGCATTAAAAAAAAGTGGGGGCTGGGGGGTTGTTGTTTTACATCCCTGAGTCTGGGGTGGTTTGTTACACAAGAGATAGCGATGATACTCTCCTATTTTTCTCACTTTGTTCAGAATCTATACCCATTATGTAAATATCTTTTTTAAAAATATACTTCTTTCTCTTTACCACACCTGCATCCCTGCGGGCGTGGACTGTTCCAAGGAAGCAATGCCCTCTCCACTCCCATTGCACTGGGGCAAGTATGTGCATGGGTGAATAATTACATAGTTGGTTGTTTCTATTTATGTAAACTAGATTCCTCAGTAGGTCTCTACAGTTTATATGTCCATAGATATAGTACTTTCCAAAAATGTTACAGCATTGCACTCCTCCAGGTAAAGAATGAATGGCTGTTTATCCATGCCTTTAAGAGCACTAAGTTATTTTAATTTTTGCATTCTAGCGACTGAACAATGGCATCTAAAACTGGTGTGTGGATTGAATGAATACGTTAAAGTAAGGGGGCCTCTCTGGCACTTGCCACCCCGTGTTGGTAGAAATCCCAGAGTTCCGCGCGTCGGAGGCCCTTCCGCCGCGGCTGCCATTGCAGAGCAGCAGCCATGGCTCTGCGCTACCCATGGCCTTGGGCCTCAACAAGGGCCACAAGGTGACCAAGGACGTGAGGAAGCCGAGGCACAGACGCCGCCGCTGGCGCCTCACCAAGCACACCAAGTTCGTGTAGGACGTGATCCGGGACGTGTGCTGCTTCATCCCTTATGAGCGGCGGGCCATGGAGCTGCTCAAGGTCTCGAAGGCCAAGCGGGCCCTCAAGTTCGTCAAGAAAAGGGTGGGGACACACATCCATACCAAGAGGAAGAGAGAAGAGCTGAGCAATGCCCTGGCCGCCATGAGGAAGGCGGCAGCCAAGAAGGACTGAGCCCTTACCCTCTGTGCACAATAAAACTTTTTCAGAAAAAAAGAAAAAGATAAAGTAAGGGCTTGAGCTGTTGCAATCTGCCAATGAGATAAATGTTTAAAGATTAAGACACTAGACAAAATATTGAGTTGACAGTTAACAGAAAATGTTTCAACAACTTGATTAGACACAAATCCTCAGCACTGTATTATAGTGTTCAAAGATCACTAGATAAGAAAGCTATCTAGTATTTTAGCAGACATTTCATTTTCGAAGGTGTTATAGGTTTGTTTCCCCTCAAAATATGTTGATGCGCTGGCCCCCAGTATCTGTGAATATGACCTTATTTGGAAATGGGGTCTTTGCAGAGGTAATCAAGTCAAAATGAGATCAATATGACTGTATGCTTCTAAAAAGGGGAAATTTGGACACAGAAACATATACACAGAGAATGCCATGTGAACATGAATCAGAGATTGGGGTCATACATCTACAAGCCAAGGAACAACAAAGACTGCCAGCAAAGCACCGGAAGCTAGGAGAGAAACATGAAACAGATTCTCCCTCACAGCTCTCAGAAGGAACCAACCTCACTGACATCTTGATCTCAGACTTCTGGACTCCAAAACTGTGAGACAATAAAGTTCTGTTGCCCTAAGGTTTGTACACAGTTTTTGGTACTTTATTATGACAGCCCCAGGAAACTAATGCAGAAGGAAAACTAAAATATCAATGAATGGTTCTTCGTTATTTTCCAGGATAGTTTTAGGAAAGGAAGAGCTGAGTTCCCATTACAGGCAAGTAAGGAGCAGTAACAAGGATTTTATAGGAAGTTTGAAAACCAATTTTCTCAGAGTTGTGAAAACAGCAATTTTTTGAGCAATATTTTTTTCCTTCTTGAGCCCAATCCAACCCAGAAGCTTCCCGCTCCAATTAAAAGTTAATTTTAGGGGCTTCCCTGGTGGTGCAATGGTTAAGAATCCGCCTGCCAACACAGGGGACACGTGTTCGAGCCCTGGTCCGGGAAGATCCCACATGCCACGGAGCAACTAAGCCCATGTGCCACAACTACTGAGGCTGCGCTCTAGAGCCCGTGAGCCACAACTACTGAGCCCATGTGCCACAACTACTGAAGCCCACGCGTCTAGAGCCCGTGTTCCCCAACAAGAGAAGCCACCACAATGAGAAGCCCGCGCAGTGCAACGAAGAGTAGCCTCCGCACACCGCAACGAAAAGTAGCCCCCGCTCAACACAACTAGAGAAAGCCCACGTGCAACAACAAAGACCCAACGCAGCCAAAAGAAAAAAAAAGGTTGATTTTAAAGCTCACACACAGACAATGTAATCAACGTGTTTAGAAAAAAGGGAAGAAGTAGAGGGAAGGTTTGTTGCTTCTTAGGTGGGCAAATGCATCCTGATCTTATGTAAGAGAGATCAAAAATTGCTTCTCTTTTATCACTTAGTACACTGCATAATATTTAATTAATTATTCATAAATATGCTTTGAAAAGAATTAGGTTTCTATTTCTTTGGGGCTTGCAATTTTACAATTTGAAGTGGATTGGAGGAGACTTTCGGGTTGTCCTAGGTTTCTGTGTGTGTAATACTTCATACATATGAAGGAATATATGTAACATATATCTAAGTTTTGAAACATAATAATAAAATAATTATCTGTGATCCTATTGTCCCACTGAAGAAGTTGAGCTTGACTAAGACCATTGTAGCTCCCTGTGTCACCGCTCTGATCCTACCACCCTCTCCCAGCTCCCTCACCACCACCCCCCAGCTCCCTCACCACCGCCCCCCAACCCCCCCATCCCCAAACCAGGCTGACATTGAAAACACAGTAATTTCTATACCTAGTCATCTGTTTATTGTTGCTGCCACTATGCCACTGCAGCCTTTGTATCCTGTGAAATGCAACCCCAAGCGTGGCTTCTCCAGCTCCCTAAACCCTAAGACCTCTAGGTAACAACTGTTTTTTTCAAAATGTTCCCAGATTGATTTTTATCACAATCATATTTGCAGATTTACCTTAAAAGGAACTTGGAGTCTGTTTTTGATGTTTATCTCAATAGAGTTATCAGAGCATCTGTTGAATAATAAAAGAATTTGTCTGGTCTTTGTCCCTGGTTCCTGGGAGAGAGCTTCTAAACGCTTGGATATGCCCACTTCTAACTCAGAAGTGTCTTTGTTATTCATGCTGAGTCCCTGGGATCACACTTGAGTTTATGATAATGAGGTGACTCATGGTGGATCCCTAGACAGTTTCAAGGTGGGGCTCCATGCCAGAAAGACCAACTCTGTATTTAGAGAATTGGAGCTTTCAGCCAAGTGATATCAGCCTGACCTCCTGACTTTCAAGGAATAGAAGGAGCTAGAGACTGAGTTCTATCACGTGGCCAATGAGTCAATCAATCGTGCCCAAGTAATGAAGTTCCAATTAAAAAATCTGGACACCAAGCTCTGGTGAAATTTCTGGTTGGTGAACACATCAATGCATCAAATGGGTAATGCATTCTGCTTCCTTGGAAGAGAATACAGCTCTGCATTTGGGCCCTCCCAAACCTTGCCCTATGTGTCTCTCCATTTGTATCTTTCATATAAATAAAACTGTAATTGTAAGTATGGCACCTTTATGAGTTCTGTGAGTCATTCCAGCAAATTACTGAACCTGAGGTGGTCACGGAAACCCTGAATTTTTAGCCAGTTGGTCAGAAGTGTGGGTAACCTGGAGACTCCTGAACTTGTGGCTGACATCACAAGTGAGGGCAGTCTTCTTGGGAATGACGCCCTTAACCTATGGAGTCTGCACTAACTCTGGGTAGTTAGTATCAAAATTGCAGTGCAGTATTGCAGCATCTAGTTTGTAGCTTGTTGCAGAACAGACACTCATTAGGTTAATCAGACTTTTTTGCTAAAGAGAATTAACTTTTATTTTGAAACATACCATATCCTTTCTGGGTATCGTCAATAATTGGAATATGTCCTCTGTAAAGGAATTCATCACCTTGATCAATTAGAGCTTCCTTCACCGCCTCATATCCATGTAAGACCACAGTGATCTGGGATCCAAGGTACAGAGTGTAAACGGGGCCATACTCTTTGGCCAGCTGGAAAGAGATGCAAATGGTTGTAAGGGCTATTGTGAAATCTCTCCATTGGAGGCTTCAGTGGAAATTAAGTAATGATTCACAAGTAGCTTAGACTTTGCTCCATTAATTTCCTTTCAGGAATTTAACCTGGGGTACAGTCATGGATTCATTCTTTCCTTCATCTATACATGCAACAATTGAGCAAATATTTACTAAGCACCTATACTGTGTCAGACACTGTGCCAGGAACCCTCATGGAACTTAGAGTCTAGTGGAAGTAACAGGCAGTAAATAGCCGAACAAACTACATTTGCAATAGAAACTGAGCATAATTCTATGAAAGCGATAAAGAATGTACTATGTTGGATGATAATGGGAAAACAATAAAATAGATGAGGAATCTATGAGGAGGTAACACTTAAGGTAAAACTAAAGATGAGAAGGAAGCAGCCAGGATAAGGGCCAGAAGGAGAGCTCACTAAACAGGTATTAAAAAGGATGAAATCTATATATTTATGATAGCATTGTGCCAAGGGGAAAAATAGAGTGCTACAACATCTGACAGCTAGGGGTGTTTTCAAATGTATTTTACAACCATGCAGTTAAATTCAAAGCAGCCATTTGAAATTACTTATATGAGGATGTACAATGGTGCAGAAGCATGTTCAAGTTCTAAATTAAATTGTTGAAAAATAAAATTATGTTTAAAAATCCATTAGGGAATTCCCTGGCGGCCCAGTGGTTAGGACTACGTGCTTTCACTGTCAAGGACGCGGGTTCGAGTGCTGGTTGAGGAACTAAGATCCTCCTGCAAACTGCGTGGAGCAGCCAAAAATTAAAAAAAAAATCCATTTGTTAAAAAATCCATTTGTATATTATAATCCTCCATTTTTTATTTATGATAATTATTTCTAAGAAGCAAAACTTGACACCATTTTTTTCTTTCTGCCTTTTTTTTTTTTAACTTAAATGGTAGAGAATTTTGCCATTTTGTACCTCTTTTCTCTGTCCCAGGAAAATGAAACTTACTTCCTTTGTTCTCTTTGAATGACTGTGTCTCTATATTTTGGGGCACACAATGCCAGGTCCTCCTCTCCCAACCTCACCCTCAGCTGATGACTTTGCTCTCTATTTCACAGAGATAATAGAAATAACCAGAAGAGAATGTCCATGTGCTTCTACCATAGCATCCACTTGTTTACCTGAATCTGTGCCCATGTACATAGTTTTCTGTTAATATAAATGACTCTCCATGCTCCTAAAAAAGGCCCAATTCTCCAACTTGTGCACTGGATTCTAGTCCTTTCCAGCTATGGCAACATGACTTTCCTCTTTACAGCAAAACTGAGCAACATCACCCTATTTTCCCCCTTCCCCCGCCCCTGGCAACCACCATTCTGCTCCCTACAAGTTTGACTCTTTTAGAGTCCACATTATGAGTGCATATAGTATTTGTCCTTCTGTGTCTGGCTTATATAACTTAGGATAATATCCTCAAGGTTCAACCATGTTGTTGTAAATGGCAGGATTTCCTTCTTTTTTAAGGAAAACTAATAATACTCATATTTTTAGTTTTCTTTATTTCTAAAAAATATTTTTTATTTTTTAAAAAATATGTGCGCATCATATTTTCTGTGTGTGTGCGCATCATATTTTCTTTATTCATCCATCAGAGGACAGTAATTAGGGTTGTTCTGGAGAATATATGCTTGCACAATGAACTCATTGAGATAATACTTTTTCCCAAAGAATATTTCCAAAGGAGTGAATGTTGTCAGTCAGCATAGCAGAGCTGGGCTGTGTCAGAGCAAGATGTGGGGATCACTCTTTAGAAGGAGGATCATAAAGTATCCCACAGATTAGTATAAAATAGTAATAATAATATAAAAGGACAGTTATTACATTTGCTTGGCTTGCCTTTTGGTAAGTGTTACACGCAGAGGGGACTGGAAGCCTTTCAGTCAAAGTATGTTCTGACTTCAGAATTTTCCCATTCACTAGAATTCAATCTATATCTCAGGTCAGGTTAACACACCTCACTACCTGCTCTAAAGTGATCCAATCCAGAAAAAAAAAAAAAAGATATCTGTCTTCTAATACAGAAACAGACACCCCAAGTGTCTTAGTGGTGAGTAAAACTAAGAACGCTTGAAGATGACATGAAGATAACCTGAAGATGACCCCCCCCTTACCTGGAGATGACCAGCCTCTAATGAAACCCTTACCTTGGAGAGAGATGCAGGGACATCCTTGAGGTTTAGTTGCATCAGATTCCCAATGATGGGAAGGGGAGTTGGGCCAGGGGGAAGCCTTCCCCCTTTGTGACTTTTCTTCCACACAAAAAGCAAAACCAGGCAAGTGACACAAATCACAAGAGCAAGAGTAGTGATTTCCAGCAGTGCCATCTCAGCTACTCGATGTTGGTAACTGTCTGGATTGCTTGTTAGCAAAGTCTTGCACACACCCGGGGTATGACCTGCCAGCCAAAGGCTGGTCTGAGTTCTTGGACTTGGAAAAAAACAACCTGGAATTGGTTTTGGCCGTATTTACCTTCCTGAAGCTTGAGATTAGGGAGGATTCATATCTTTCCTACCTCTTGTTCACAAAATCTGCAACTTTTGATTTTTTAAGCCTCTCCATTACATGTACTATTTCCTTTTAGCACTAATGATTCATTAACTATAAAGCTGGGGGATTAAAAGGTACAAACTATTAGGTATAAAATACACGACAAGGATATATTGTATAACATGGGGAATATAGCCAATATTTTACAATAACTATAAAGAGTATAACTTTTAAAAAATTTTTCTAAAGATTTTTTTTTTGGGATGTGGACCAGTTCTAAAGTCTTTATTGAATTTGTTACAGTATTGCTTCTGTTTTATGTTTTGGTTTTTTGGCCACAAGGCATGTGGGATCTTAGCTCCCTGACCAGGGATCAAACCCACACCCCCTGCAGTGGAAGGCGAAGTCTTAACCACTGGACCACCAGGGAAGTCCCTAACCTTTAAAATTTGTGAATCACTATATTGTACACCTGTAACTTAAATAATATTGTACAGCAACTATACTTCAATAAATAATTTTTTTTTTTTTTTTGTGGTACGCGGGCCTCTCACTGCTGTGGCCTCTCCCGTTGCGGAGCACAGGCTCCGGATGCGCAGGCTCAGCGGCCATGGCTCACGGGCCCAGCCGCTCCACGGCACGTGGGATCTTCCCGGACCGGGGCACGAACCCGTGTCGCCTGCATCGGCAGGCGGACTCTCAACCACTGCGCCACCAGGGAAGCCCAATAAATAAATTTTTTAAAGCTAACAAAAAGGGCTTCCCTAGTGGCTCAGTGATTAAGAATCCGCCTGCCAATGCAGTGGGCACGGGTTCAATCCCTGGTCTGGGAAGATCCCACATGCTGTGGAGCAACTGAGCCTGTGAGCCACAACTACTGAAGCCCACGCGCCTAGAGCCTGTGCTCCGCAACAAGAGAAGCCACCGCAATGAGAAGCCGGCGCACCGCAACGAAGAGTAGCCCCCCACCTCCCCACCACAGCTAGAGAAAGCCCGTGTGTAGCAATGAAGAACCAATGCAGGAAAACAATAAATTAAAAAGCTAACCAAAAACTTTTTTAATTGCAATCTACAATGATTGATTTTTAAGTGTTAAACTAACCTTATATTCCTAGGATGAACACCTCTTCTTTCTCATGATGTAATAAAACTTTTCTATTTTGCTGGATTTGATTTGCCATTACTTTGTTAGGGATTTTTGTACCTATGTACATGAGGAATATTGGTTTGCAATTTTGTTCTCTGTAATGTGTTTGGTTTTAATATCAGGTTTATGAGAGCCAGATAAAATAAGTAGGCAAGTGCTCCATTTTTTTCTTTTTAATAAAAGTTTTAAAATTTTTAATTAAAAGATTAGTATTATTTTTCCTGAAAAGTTTGATAAAATGCCACAGTGAAACAATCTGATGCCTTCCTTGTACGAAAATTTGTTATTAATTTATCTAATTAAAAAAAGAGTTCTAGAAATAGATAATGGTGATGATTGCACAAAATTGTGATCGTACTTAATATTACTGACCTGTACATTTAAAAATGGCTAAAATGGTAAATTTTATGTATATTTTATCACAGTAAAGAAAAAAACCCGATTACTTAGTTGGTATTTGAAAACGTTATCTAACTTGTATTTGCATTTAAGGTAATTAATGCTTTTATTTATTCTTTGAGATAAATCTTACTATTAATAGTAATGTCTCAGAATCTAGACATTATCTTATGGGGAATTTGTTAAAATAAATATTTTTCAAAATCTAAAAAAGTCTACTGTTGTTTCCTACTAATTACAGAAAACATTAAAAAAATCTATTTAGCACTAAAATTCTTGTTTCAACTTTACTATTTTTCACTAATTTCAGAGCCATCTATTTCTCTGTATTTTCCCACAGCAGACTATTTGCTTCCATTAACCAACCTTACTGGCCTGCATTCATATATCCTTTAGCTGTGGGGCCACTAGGCTGGGATGCAGCCATAGCCGATGATGGGTTTGTGCATGAAGAACCCAGGCATAGGTAGCTTAGGGACTTCATATATTAATACATTGCTGTATTCCTTCCGGCACTTTCTGTGAAACCAGTGTCCACTGATGCTTACGCTCAGTTGTTTGCAAGCATTTGTTTGCAGACATTCCACAATGAGGTAAATTATTGACTTTGAAATGTTTGAAAAGTTAGAACTTTAATGTTCTGGACATTGAAAGCAAGTGAATAAACAGAGTGGACTGGTAAACATGTTGGAAAAGGGAAGTTTTAAAATTACCTAATCAATTTCCCTGCTTAAAAATCTTGAAAGCGTTTGTTTTTTTTTTAATTTTTGTTTTTTAATGGACTTTTCCTTTTATTACTAAGGCTTTATATTTCTAGAGCAGTTTCCGGTTCACAGCAAAATTGAGCAGAAGATACAGAGCTCCCATATACTCCCTGCCTCTCACCATGAAAGTCCTGAAC